CTTGAACTCACAGAGATCTGCCTGCCTCTGCCTCCCAAGAGCTGGGATTAAAGGCATGCGCCACCAACGCCTGGCTAAAAATCAAGTATTTTAATGGGATAAATCCTTGAAATACCTGTTGGCCGGGGCTTTCGCCCTGGTGGGACAAAGATTACCAATTATCTTCGAGGGTTTAAGGTTTAGTTTTATTGGGGCGGTAGAGATAAAGAGCATTTGCTGCTCTTAGCGGATGACGAGGGGGAGTTACCAGCATCCACATGGCAGTCTGTAACCACCTCCTCTGACCACCTCAGGCACAGCACACAAGATATGCAAATATGCGTACAGACTAACCACTCGTAAACATTTCTTCAAGGACTTTTATTAATGTGTGAATCTGTGGAAATGTATGCCAGCTCTGTGTAGGTGCCAGAGGCCAGAAGAGGGCAAATTCCCTAGAGCTGGACACTCGGTGGTCATGAACTGCCCCACCTGGGTGCTCTGAATGGAACCAAGATCTTCTACAAGAGCAAAACCATTCAACCAGACTCATCCCTCCAGCCCAAGGCCTACATTTCAGGCCTCACTGCCAAAGGATCCCAAGTGGAATAACAAGATACTCCCCTTGTTTATGTAAACTCGAACTTCAAATGCAGGAATAACAGGTGTGGACCACACTATACCCTCCTCCATGTACATTTAAGGGAGAAGAGCGGTGTGCCAGAGGCAGTTCAAAAATACAGGACCCTCGAAGGGGGACCGATGGGGGTGTGGCTGAGCAGTCAGAGCTGGAGAGGGGAAAAGCAATTCAGGTAGTAGAGAAGCAGGCTCAACCCTGTTAAGGGTCCGAGAGGCAGATTGGATGATAGGAAACCAGTCAAGGCAATACAAGACTAGAGAAGCCAGAGACCTTAAATCATCTGAGGTTTGTGACACCTGAGAGGAGGCCAGTAGCTCCGCAGGCCTATGTGACCTGTTCAGGTGGAGTCAGGCCTTCTGGCCACAGATGGAAGCAGGTGTGTCTAGACCTGTCCGGCCTTAAGGCAAGTCTGTGGTGCTGCTGTGGTCGGCTGCACCCAGTACCGAGGACACATCACCGCATTCAAAGGTCCAAAGTTTTATTGTTTCCAATACATTCTCCAGCAGCTCCCTCATGTCCCACCCACCCCTCCATTCCCAATACAGAATAAG